CAACTGCAACTACAACTACAACAACTACAACAACAACACCAACACCACCACCACCACCAACAACAACAACAGCAACAACTACAACAATTACAACCACTCCAAGCAGCACCACTGACCTCATCACACGAGGGACACCGGGGCCGGATGAGTTCGGCGTAGTGCCGCTGACAGTACAGCTGGCGGCCATATTGGCAGTAGACCAGGTCAACTTGCAGCTCAACACATCCTACCACAACTACAACTACAACTACAACTGCAACTACAACTACAACAACTACAACAACAACACCAACACCAACACCACCACCACCACCACCAACAACAACAGCAACAACTACAACAATTACAACCACTCCAAGCAGCACCACTGACCTCATCACACGAGGGACACCGGGGCCGGATGAGTTCGGCGTAGTGCCGCTGACAGTACAGCTGGCGGCCATATTGGCAGTAGACCAGGTCAACTTGCAGCTCAACACATCCTACCACAACTACAACTACAACTACAACTGCAACTACAACTACAACAACTACAACAACAACACCAACACCAACACCACCACCACCACCACCAACAACAACAGCAACAACTACAACAATTACAACCACTCCAAGCAGCACCACTGACCTCATCACACGAGGGACACCGGGGCCGGATGAGTTCGGCGTAGTGCCGCTGACAGTACAGCTGACGGCCATGTTGGCAGTAGACCAGGTCCACCAGCAGCTCCTCGCACGTGGCGCACGTGAAGCAGGCGGGGTGCCACGCCCACTCCCGGCCCAGCTTGTCTGCCGCCACAACCAGGTCCCCGCGCTCAAGGACGCCTTTACAGCTGTAGCAGCTCTGTGGGGAGAAGGAAGAAGTGGGGGTGGTAGGGCGGGATGGGGTGGGGGTGAGGAAGGATTAATTTCTTTGTTTTAATGTAGGTGTTTGGTTGAAAGGGGGGTGAGGTGAGATGAGGTGAGGTGAGTCAAGGTTTACACTGAACAGGGCATCTACCTCAGCCATCAGCTAAATATTTTGTAACATACCAGTCCAACAGCCCTTTGAAAAGCAAAGGACCATTAAATTGTTTGGACATCAAGCTCGCACTCCTATTACTACATGTATTACCCAACCTGCCCTAACAGCCTACAACTCAAGAATACCTGACTACAGAGCGCAAGAAAGATCAAGAGAAAGATGGATTCAGGGCAACAAAAGGTAAAAAAAAAAAAAGAAACCTAAGAACTAAGAATTAGAATACGGCAACTCCCGGTCCCAGGAGGTTTCTCAGCAGGTTGAGACCAGATGTCTGTCTCTCCCTCCCCGCCACACCTCACGATATAGGCCACAACTAACGCCAATACATGTTCCAAGGCTGAGAGAGGAAAGGGCGGTAAATCTTACACACCTACCGCATCGAGGTGTAATAGTTTGGTTATTTCCCTTGAACGATACCCAGTTTTATTTCTTGATTACCACGAGAGGAAGACTGTTTGTGTCTTCGTCTTTGTCTTTGTCTGTGTCTGTGTCTGTTACTGTGTCTGTGACTATGTCTGTGTCTGTGTCTGCATCTTTGTCTCTGCCTTTGTCTTTTTCTATCTCTGTCCCAG